TACTGGGTGGGGGGGGGGATGCATGCTGACACCCCCACTGGGGCCTTCGGTGGATCTCCCTTCTGTGGCCACGAAGCGCTGTACTTGGTGTGGCGGACGCATGCGGGGATCACCACTGGGGCCTTCGGTGGAGCTCCCTATGGGGCCACGAAACGCTGTACTGGGTGTGGCGGGCGCGTGCGGGCACTCCCTCTGGGGCCTTCGGTGGAGCTCCCTATGGGGCCACGAATCGCTGTACTGGGTGTGGTGGACGCATGCGGGCACCCCCACTGGGGCCTTCGGTGGAGCTCCTTCTGGAGCCACGAAAGTTTTTACTGGGTGTGGCGGACGCATGCGGGCACCCCCACTGGGGCCTTCGGTGGAGCTCCTTATGGGGCCACGAAACGCTGTACTGGGTGTGGCGGGCGCATGAGGGCACCCCCACTGGGGCCTTCGGTGGAGCTCCCTTATTATGGGGCCCCGAAGCGCTGTACTGGGTGTGGGAAAGGCAGGGAGGAGGGAGTACTGCAGGGGGAGGAGGTGGAGGAGGGGGAGGAGAGGAGAGAGGAGAGAGGAACGCGGGGACCGTCTCGTCGAAACGAGGACCCAGCATCACAGGATGGTTGGGAAGAAAAACGAAGCTCCCGACTGAGCGGGGCGATGCCTCTCAAGGGAGGCGCTTCGCGCAGGGAAAAGCAATGCTTGTAGGGACTGGGACTTCTGGATGGGACTTGGGACGAGAGGGTGCATTGCAGAATCATCCTTGATTGATGCATCTTCGGTTGACGATGGTCCTCCTCCGCACATCGTGTTTCTCCCGAGCTGCTCCACCACCTCCTCCTCCCTCGGGAGGTCCCTGGGACTTGCAGCCCCGTCCTTCTCCTCCTCCTCCTCCTCCTTCTCCTCCTCCTCCTCCTCCTCCTCCTCATCCTCCTCCTCCTCCCCCTCACCCTCCCGCCCGAGTGGAGCTCACACCCGAGCTGCTCCAGGCCATCCAGTGGAGGCCAGAGCAGGCCCGCTTCCGCCGCGCGGTGACGGATTCTGTGCCAGCCTCTGGCATCTTCAGTTGCTGCCAAGCTGGCCCTCAAAGATGGTCGGGTCTTCCCGTGCTTGTCCCACGTGTTTGTCATGCTCGCTGGTGTCAGCGTAGTACTATTGCCGTGACATGGTCTGACAATGAGCCGCACGGGGCCTGAAGGTCTGGAGGTATACCTCCTCCTCCTCCTCCTCCTCCTCCTCCTCCTCCTTGCTCCTCCTCCTCCTCCTCCTCCTCCTCCTCCCTCCCTCCTCCTTGCTGCTCCTTCCCTCGCCCTCCGCCTTCCTTTCCGGAGGATGGCCAATCGAGACAACGGCGGCTCTCCCTCCTCCCTCCCGGCTCGAATCCGCTCAAAATCGGTCCTTACAGTCGAGGCGTTGACCTAAGGAACCCTAAATAAGGAACGAGGCCCCTTTTTTCCATGAGTTAACCTTCGATTCCCCGTGGAAAACAAAAGGAAAACCTGAGGCAAGCTGCGAAACACTTAGGGAACGCGGAGCCCCTCCCCAACGAAAAGGGTTCCTTCTTCAGGGCCCCGACTGTAGACCCCCTCACGGGCTCCATCCTGACCCCTTTTGCTCGAGGCGGACCCAGCTGCGGCGGCGAGACGCCTCTGGGAGGCCCAAGAAAGACAGGAAACGCCAGGCAGCGCTCCTGGTGGCTCGACTGGCCCTCCTCCGATCCTCCCCCCCCCCCCTGAGGGGCAACGATCGGGGGGGATAGGCAAAGGGGGGGATGCAGCGACCTGGAATCGGCGATACATCGCCGATAGATCGGCGATAGGCCTCCGACATTGAATCCGCACCTTCCTGGGCAGGTCGGGGCTATCGGGCCCCTATCGGCGATCAATGGGCGATTGGGGGTCGATGCATCCCCCCCCCTATGCCTATCCCCCCCTATCGTTGCCCCCGACCCGCTCCGCCTCCTCCGGCGATGAGTCGCAGAGGCCCCCATATGCCTCCCCCCCTATGCATCCCCCCCTATGCCTCCTATGCATCCCCCACTATGCATCCTCCTACGCATCCCCCCCTATGCCTATCCCCCCCTCCTATGCATCCCCCCCTATGCATCCCCCCCTATGCCTATCGCCCCCTCCTCCGCCGCCCCGCTCCTCCGGCGACGGGTCACCAAGGCCCCCCCTCCGAGGCTTGGACCCCCTCGCGCTCCAGCCGCGCCTCCGCGGCCGCGACGAGCTCCTGCCGGGCGCCGCGCGCCCGCCAGCTTCCCCCCCCCCACCCGGCCACCCCCACCGATCCCGCTGGTGTGGTCCAGCCCCGGTGCAGACATCGGCGAGGGTCCAGACATGGAGTCGGACGAAAGATTGTCGGACATCCTCGCCGGTTCTAGGCGGCTGTGCAGCCTCGGGATGCTCTGAATCTGCTGCGCCTCGCCGACCCTTTGGTGTCCGTTCCATGGGAGCCTGCGTGGCCCCTGGCGCTGTCCCATTTGGGCCTGAATTGGACCAGATCTGGACCAGAATTGGACGAGACTCGCCCCTTCACAGCAAGGGAGACGACAAGAACGAGGCGGAGGAGGAGGACGAGGAGAAACAGGAAGAACGAGGAGGAGCACGAGGAAGAACCAAATGCGGTCCCAATGCGGTCCAAATGCAGGAAAAGCTGATTTCAATGTCGCCGCCCAAGGCTCCCATGAACAGACATCGAACCACCCCCACCGATCCCGCTGGTGTGGTCCAACCCCGGTCCAGACATCGGCGAGGGTCCAGACATCGAGTCGGACGAAAGATTATCGGACATCCTCGCCGGTTCTAGGCGGCTGTGCAGCCTCGGGATGCTCTGAATCTGCTGCGCTTCGCCGACCCGAACACCAGACCTCCTCGTGGCGGAATCCCGAAGCGAGGATTTTTGCAATGTTCGCCCTCGGGGGCCCGCGCCAGGGCGCCCCGGGAACGTCCCAAGATGGCCCCAAGAGGCGAATTTGCGGGCCCCGACGGGAGGCTGACTTTCACAACCTTGAATTCTTTCATCGATTGCCTTCAATAATTATGAACCCAAAGGGGCCCCCAAGGCCCCAAGAGAGCCACAAGAGAGCCACAAGAGGGCCCCCAAAGAGTCCCCCCAGAGAGCCCCGAATGAGGGGGCCCAGGGACACACAAATTCGCCGGCCCAACGGGCCAGAGGCGTGCTAAGATCTCGGGTAACTGGTAAACAGTATTTCTAGTTCGCGCGCGCGGGGCGGCCCCTGGGGGTCCCTGGACCAAAAGTACCCCGGGCGGAGCCCGGGACACTCCCCCAGATCCTCCAGGATCGCCCCAAGAGGGCCCCAAGAGGCCCCCAACACAATCCAAGAGAGGTCCGAGACGCCCGAAGATCGCTCCACGGCGCCCAAGATGGCCTCCAGACGGCCCAAGACGTCTCCAAGATGACCCAACAAGCCTCCAAGATGCCCCAAGAGACCTCCAGGAGCACTCCCAAGAGGGCCCCAAGAGGCAAACATCCATGCTTTTTTCTTGGGTTTTGGACAGATTTGGGCGTTTCAACCTTTTCGGTTCCCCGACGCCCCTAAACGGCTCAAGAGGCCTCCAAGATCGCCCCAAGAGGGCCCAAGAGGCCCTCAAAAGGGCCCCAAGACGGCCCAAGACGGCTCCAAGACGGCCCCAGAGGCCTCCAAGACGGCCCAAGAGGGCCCCAAGAACGCCCCCAACACGGTCCAAGAGAGGTCCGAGACGCCCGAAGATCGCTCCACGACGCCCAAGATGGCCTCCGGACGGCCCAAGACGTCTCCAAGATGGCCCAAGAAGCCTCCAAGATGCCCCAAGAGGCCTCCAAGAGAACTCCCAAGAGGGCCCCAAGAGGCAAAAACCTGTGCTTTTCCTTTGGTGTTGGACAGATTTGGGCGTTTCAACCTTTTCGGTTCCCCGACGCCCCTAAACGGCTCAAGAGGCCTCCAAGATCGCCCCAAGAGGGCCCAAGAGGCCCCCAAGAGGGCCCCAAGACGGCCCAAGACGGCTCCAAGACGGCCCCAGAGGCCTCCAGGACGGCCCAAGAGGGCCCCAAGAATGCCCCCAACACTACACAGCTCCCGACGCCGCAGTTCCACACTGCAAACGACCACTCGGACAGGCGACCACGGTGCGACATTATGGGCCGGCGGAGTGAGCGAAGCGATTAAATAAATACCAACAAATCCCAGGATTCTCAATGTTTCAATATTTTTTGGAGCTTCGTCTCTCCACTTCCTATGTTTGCCTGGACTTTCATTGGACTTGACAATTATTGTCTGCGTGTTTCTTCCCTCCTGCGAACAGTTTTCCAGCATGGCCCCCCAGTGGCTGCAAGAGGCCTCCCGAGAAATCAAAAGCCACAAGTGTTTGCCGCCGTGCTTCGCTCCGTGCTTACCTACATACGTCTCTCCGCATATCTCCTCTCAACAACTCCCCCTGGGCGTCGTTTCTGGATGGGCAGGTGATGACATGTGAAGCGTCAATGAGATCGACAGATGGTACTGTTAATCCATGAGGTGGCAAGGCTTCGTATCACCACTAGTCAACACAATTCCAGCGCGTGTTTGGAGTCTGAGGTAGTAGCGCATGGCGGAGGTGGGGAGTATCACTTTCCTGGTTAGGTGTGGGGCTGCACATACGAGTGTAAGAAAGTGGTGAGGCGTGAATAGCGCTGAGCCTCTTGTACTCTCATGACAACGGTGATACTGGAGCCCTGGTGGCAAAAACCATTACAACTAAGGAGGACGGGAAGTGAGGCAAAGCTGGTGATGGGGGGGAGGCGGAGGAGGAAGAGGAGGGATATGTGGAGGAGGCGAAAGAGGCGGATCCGGAGGAGAGGGAGGAGGAAAAAAGAAAAGGGAGGAACGGGAAGGAGGAAGAACAGATAGCAGAGGAAAAGAAAACTGAGGGTGAAGCGGATGATGATGAGGGGGAACACCAGCAGCAGGAGGAGAAGTTGGAAGAGCAGGAGGCAACCGCATCGACAACAGCAACAGCAGTAGCTGCAGAGACAACTTCCGCACCTTGACATAAAACTCGTTCCAAGTGGTGTACACCACGCCGATCACGGCTTTGGCAACGTCCAGGGCCGGCGGCGGCAACTTGAAGGTCTCTAAGACCTGGGCAAGAGTTTGCGACGCGTCGACCGAATTTCCACGTTCCCCCGATGCTAGCCTGGCTGCTCACGATACGTTACACCGTCCTGATGACTCCTCCGTCCTTGCAATGATGACGTACTTACGAAAAGCGCAGCGCAAGAAGGTCCAGGACCACCCATCCAGATGCGCTGCCCAACACGAAGCCTGGTATCGCCGTTACCACGGCCTCCCGTCCTCTACTGCCCCCAAATTATGCGCCGCTCGAACCCTACCAAGAAGCTAGACACACGCACACACACAGACACACGCACACACACACACACACACACACACACACACGCACACGCACACGCACACGCACACGCACACGCACACGCACACGCACACGCACACGCACACGCACACGCACACGCACACGCACACGCACACACACACACACACGTGGCTGGCTTCACATGTGGAGCATATGGAGGCCACGCGCGGCATCTTCGTGCGGAGTGCCGTCCTGTCCGGCCATGCGAGGGCCGTGCAGCAGGAGAGACGCGGGGCCACATGCCCAGGCCAGCCGCGTCGTGTGGCGGACCCAGGGGACCCCTGAGCCCCCCCCTCCCCGGCTATACGCAAGAGTGACCCTGGGTAAGAGTGACCTTTGGTGCGCGGCTTTTGGGGGGCCGCGGGGGGACCAAACCTGGGCGCGCAAGCAGCTGCGGCTGCTTCGTTTTCAGCCACCTGGGGACCCATCTGTGCCCGCACCAAAGGTCACTCCTGCGAAAGGTCACTCTTACGTCTAGTCGACCTCCCCCCCCCAAAAAAAAATGCATCTCGGTGGTGGACAGAACTCCCTTCGGCAAAGCACCCTTTCGTGAAAACGACCTGGGACTGCACCCGGCCGGCGCACGCACCCTAAACTTGCGGGCGCAGCGCCCCCTCGAGAACGGGAAAAGGGAACTTCGCCATCGACTTGGCAGGATGGGGCCCGTCAACCTCCGAGCACCTCTAGGGGGCGCAACGTTTACTTCCGCCGGCTTCCGTCGGCCTTCCCCCACCTTCCGCCGTCGGAGGCGCCCTCGCTTTACTCCTGCCAGCCCTCCGCCGCCTCCGCTTCATCCCTGATCCATTCTTGGATTGCCTCTGGGGCCCAGCAACGAGCCCCAGAGGCCGAGATCGAGGAAAAGCGTCGGGACTGGGAAATCACAGCGCGGGAGATCTGGGCTCCTGCCCAGGCAGCCAGGGCCAGCAAGGCGAGCAGCGGCAGGGCGTCACGCACGGAGCCGCCTCACCGGCCGGCAGGCGAACCACCCGGGTCCAGCCGAGGTTCACCACGAGACGGTGTCAGGGGTGGATCGCTGGAAGCCGCGGGATGTCGGGTTGTTCTCGGACGATGCCTTGGAGCCCTTTCGCTGTTCTCATGCGCACGGGAGAGAACATGCGAAAGTTACCCAAGCATTTGCGAAGCACTATCCTGCCTCAGCTCCCCAAGCCTGGGGGAGCGTTTTCGTCTCATAGGACTTCTACCTGAGACACTACGTGCGTACAATATGGCCATGAAGCATGTTCAGGACAACTGGAATCGGCAGAATGGGCGAGGCTACGAATACGCACGTGCGGGCAAAAACACTGAGCAGACGGTTTGAAAGCATGCTATCATCACAGAGGCGACCAGAGCCTTAGATATGCAAGTGGCAGCTTCACTCGTCATGCTGAAAAAAAGCTTCCGAAACCATCGACCACAATTTTTAAGGGACTCGGCTATCGGACACGGGTTTCTGCGAAGAGAAACGACGACGCTGATGCAGTGCCACGGGGAAATATATCAATCAAACTTGGTAGCATGATGAGCGATGTTATTTCAACACATCGCGGTGTGATTGCTGGGTATGGTTTTGCGATCTCGAGATTTGGTAGTTGATGACTCCACGCTGCAGGCCAGTGGTACAGAGAGGTAGGTCATCGAGGTTGTCACCAACTCGGCCAAGGAAGCATGCCGTCCCTTCACTAACATTCGCATGATAGTCAGTGTTGACACAGGTTAAGTGACGGCCACCAAGGATCGCATTGTCCAAACTATTGCAGCAGCACTGTCATCACACCGATCCCAATCCAGGAGATGCGTGACGCAGCTCGGTGTTGACCGCAGGATGGCGCGTGTTGGCAGACAGGTGTAACAATTGCGAGCTCGCAACATGAGGAGGATAATCACCACATTCAGAAGGCTGACCAATCGAGGTCGCTCGCCAAGTCGGATGTACCGCGCTGGTGGCTTGCATGCTGTGACGTCTGGGATGAGAGTGCATGGGATATCTGAGACCCAGCTGGCCAACCTCAGAGCGACAGCTTCGTACTCTATTTTCGGAGCCCCCCAGGGCAGATCACGGACAGTAGAATTCATGCTACCAGGTAATCCCCCGAAACGACCCCGTGCACGACGCCAACGCCCTATCGCTCGTGACGTGGCCCGAAGCGACGTGGAGGAAACGGGCGACGGCGGAGCAGATGCAACTGGCTCTCAAATGTGCTGAACGCAAGTCCGAAAGCTGGGGCACGGCAGTGGGACCAGCTGACACCGTGTGGTGCTCAGCCTGTGCTGCAAGATGCGAGTCCCGGGTGCATAGGATAGCCGAGCAGTGTGTTGTGAGCCCCCCCCACAAGGGCGCTCCAAGCATCATCGGCGTAGGCACCTGTTGCAAAGGAGGGGGCCAACCGGACAGGGGATGGGAGACGGGCACCGCCGTCCCCTCCCTCTCCATTTTGGACGCCCGAGATGGGTACGAAAAAATGGGTACAATGCTCAACAGCAAATGTTGTCCAAAACCAACAGCCTCCGCTGTTGGGCAGGCGGCCTTCTGTCTCAAATGGACACAGGCCGCGGCGGCGCGGACAGCGAGTCCTGTTCAAAATGAACAGGAACTGCTGTTGAGCATTGTACTCATTCTTTCCGTGCCCATTTCGTTCGTGCAGATCCATGGGCTGAGGTCAGCATCGGTGGCCTCGGCCACCCGTGTAGTTCTTTGCTGGCTTCCCGCCCCGACCGTCGGAGCCTCGCTGCCCTCACCCTGGAACCCTGGAGCCCTCCCTCCCTGCCCAGGCCAGCTATGCCACGTGCAGCTAGCTTCCTGGTGCGCTCCCTCCTTCACTCGACCACCCTCCTGCTTCTCCTCCTCCTCCTCCTCCTCCTCCTCCTCCTCCTCAGCCTCCTCCTCTTCATCCACCTTCTCCTACTCCTCCTCGTTTCATAGACTTTCTCCTCTTCAGACCATCGGTGCTTCAATCCTCCTTCTCCTCCTCCCTCTTCACCTTCGGCCCCAGGTACGGTGCGATGATTCATCCTCTCGCGTTTCGTCTGTAGGTACGCCCTGTTGCGCTCGTTCTCGACCGACGGCAACGCCGTGACGTCCTGTCCGAGAGGGAGCAAAGGGAGAGGTAGAGAAGGGCATCGTACTATTGATTGCGTCTGAAATCCGATTCCACAAACGTTGTCTTGCTTTCAAGAGCTGGGTTTGTCCGCCATTCTGGCGGCTACGCTTGTCGCCGTCGCCGCCCCGTCGTCGCCCCAGATGTTGCACAACGCAGTTTGCACAGCAGACATTGACCAACATCGATTGCACAACATTGATATTCCTCTCTGACTAAGAATTAAGATCTCACCCCCCCCACCTGGGAATATCGATGCACCCACGGAATGTACAATTCACAATCGATTCTGCCCGATCATACCATCCCAATTATGCTGGGTCGCCCCCATCCTGCGCGCGCAAACTCGCTTACCAACTATCACCCGATAGCAGCCACCCATTTCAACACATGGGACGCAATGCGCACGCGCGCATCGTCGCGAGCGCATGCCGGAATCCTTCGACAACCAACTAGTGGCATCGTACAAACTTCAAGGTCGAGATCCGCGAAAACATATGTAAACACAATTCACAACCAATGGTTTTGCAACCTGCTGTTTTTTTTTTTGGCTGAGCGCGCACGCACATACAGCACAGCCTCTGCGCGTGCGCTCCATCGACCCCCTAACACAAGCAACACATTAGGTTGTTTAACCTGTTCACTAACTGCGACCAGACGAGCATCTCGCGCGCGTATCGAAATCATTCGGATGCCATCGCGCGCGTGTTTTCTGTTTGGGGGGGGGCACGGTCTCTGACAAATAACACCATGCGGGCCACTCGTACCCGTCGGCCGCGCGCTTGTCGAAATCCGCTCAAAACCTTCATCGCCGACGCGTGGGCACCATCGTTGTCGTCGGCGTGATCAGCATCGGCGCCGTCATGGGTTTCACAATTATCATTGCCATCGTCGCCGATAGCATCACTACTACCATCATCGTGTCTGCCGTTGCCGACGCCGCCATGATACCGCGCCCGCCCGAATCATCGACTCGCACTGGAGTGCCTGCGCGTCAGCGCGGCCTGTCAGACGCAATGGGAAATCCCCAACGGTCAGCGCCAACGCGGCCGCGTCGGTCGCGCCAGACTACCTGGCCGCATTGAGCGCGAGCCTGCGTGCGCTGGCGCGGTCGCAGCGATGCGCCAGCCAGCGCCAAGCAGTCATCGCAATCGCCGCCGCATGTGCTTGACAAATCAAATTGCGGGTGGGTGGGCGGGGCGATTGCGCGAGCAGTGGAGCTGGCAACTCCAAGGCCGGCAGGGTGGATCGCGACACGTAGACTGCACCGCGCGATTCTCCTTTCAAACAAAACATTGAAATCGACCCCCCCTTTGATTACCGCTTCCCGCTGGGATAATGCAAGTTGCATCTGCTTCTGCCTCATCGCTCATCCAAAATATGCACTCGTGCCACCCCAGCAACACCCGTGTTGCCCCCACGTCACCCCTGTCCAATAATGTTATACGCGCGCACCCGTTTGTCACAAAGTATCAGCTCCAGTGGTCCTTCTACACCAGAAAATGGCAGCGTCCACATGCGCGCGTCGTCGCGCGCGCATGCCGTAATTCTTCAACACCCTACGCTGTGCACGGATTGCAAAATCGAGATTCCCGGGCACGTATCACAACAAAACAACGGCTTTGCAACGCGATGTTTCATACAAGTCTGCGCGCTCGCTCTTGCGAGTCTTCGCAGAACCTATGGTTTGTGCAACGTATTCATCACATGCGACCAAGCAGGCCTTGCGCGCGCATGTCGAAATTATTCGAACGTTTTTGCGCGCTTGCTGGGGGGGAGGGGGGCGATCCCTGCCCAGCGATGCCGCGTGGGCCACGCGTGCCCGTCGGCCGCGGGCGCGTGTCGAAATCCTGTCAAAACTTTGTCGCCGACGCGCGGACATCATCATCGTCATCGGTGCGATCAGCATCGCCGCCGCCAGCGGCCTTGCCGTCGTCATCGCCATCATCGTTGCCATCATCACTACTGTCAGCATGTCTGCCATTGTCGAAGTCGCCATGGTATCGCGCCCGCCCGAATCACTGACTCGCACTGAAGTGCCCGAGTGTCAGCGCGGCCTGTGAGAAGCGCCGGAGAGTTCCCGGCGTCCAGTTTCACCGCGGCCGCGTCGGCCGCGCTGGCCTACAGGCTCGAGAGTATTCTACCCTTGCGCCGCGCCAAGGCCCCGACGGCGCCCGAAAGAGACACGAAGGCCTCCGCGCCAAAACCCGCTCGCATTAGCGGGCGCGTGGTCCAAACGGCCCCCCCCCTCATTAAAACTACTCGCGGGGCTCCGCCTGCGGAAGGCCCCCGGGACGATCCACCTCTTCAACTGGAATCTCATCAAGAGTAAAATGGATGGGGCCTGGCCTGGGCGATGCTGCCTGGGGCGCCCCCAGAATGTGCTTGGTTTGGCCCCTGGCTTGGCGCGGTTTGGCTTGGTTTGGCCTGGTCTGGCCGCGCGCCCCGCCTGAAACATTCAAAAACAATTGCCTGATTTGGCCTCTGGTGTGGGCTGGCTTGGGCCAGGATTCGCCTGGGACGTCGTCGGAATTTGCTTGTGAGCAGCCCTGCTTTGGGCGGGTCTGGGCCCAGTTTCGCCCAAGACGCCGTCGGAGTTTGCCTGGCTTCGCCCGTTGGTTTGGGCCCGGTTTCGCTTGGCACGTCGCCAGAAGTTTCCTGGTTTGGCCATGGTTTGTCACGGTTCCAGTTTTTTTTGTTTGCATCAGAGGCCCTCAGAGTTTGCCTGCGTCCCCCCTCGTCTGGCACGGTTTCGGCCCCAAGAAGCCCCGCGAAGCTCGCGGAATGAAGAACCAGCGAATGTCTGCACGGTCGGGGAACGTCCATTATGGTCGCCGCGCGTTCTCAACGCGCAGTGACATCGGTCGCGCTCTCTTCGGCGCAGACTGGTCAATTGACACGCGTCGTGGTGGGCGCGTGCAAACCGACATAGTGGCGCGGTGTCATGACTGCTCACCGTGGTCCACATGCAGCACGGCTGCGCTACAAATGGCGGCTGGCACAGGTGCGGGCAGTCTTGGCGCGCCGTGGATCGGCGCAGGTGCGCGTGGCCGCGTCAGGAGAACGCCTTTCCGAAGCCGATCAGGCTCGGAAATGTTGCTCCCAACGCCGCGCCAAGGCCCCAACGGCGCCAGAGAGAGAAATGATCCTGGCGAAGGGCCCAACCATATGCGGTTGTGAGTATCGCCGCTGTGGGCATCGCCTTCGGTGTATCTCCTTACGGGGCCACGAAGCGTGTAAGGGGCGTGCCGAGATGGCCCGGGGCCGCCATTCGAACCCTGCCACTGGGGCCTCAAGTGGAGCTCCCTATGGGGCCACGAAGCGCGTGATCAGTATGCCGGAATGAGAGGGGGTGGCGCGGGTGAGCGTCGCCACTGGGGCCTTCGGTAGGGCTCCGCATGGGGCCGCGAAGCGCGCGAGAGGTGCCGAAATGGGCGGGGGGAGGCCCGTGTGACCACGGCCGCTGGGGCCTTCGGTGGAGCCCCCTATGGGGCCGCAAAGCGCTGTGCTGGGCGACGCGGGAGCATATGATCACAGCCACTGGGGCCTTCGGTGGAGCCCCCTATGGGGCTACGAAGCGCCGTGCTGGGTTGTGTGGGACGCATGTGGTCACAGTCACTGTGGCCTCCGTTGGAACCCCTTTGTGGGGCCACGAAACGCCGTGCGGGGTGGCGCGGGACGCATGTGGGCACGGCCACTGGAGCCTTCGGTGGAGCTCACTATGGGGCCGCGCTGTATGTGGTCATAGCCACTGGGGCCTTCGGTGGAACTCTCTATGGGGCCGGGAAGCGCCGTGCTGGGTGGCGTGGGACGCGTGTGGTCACAACCGCTGGAGCCTTCGGTGGAGTTCCGTATGGGCGCGGGACGCATGTGGGCACGGCCACTGGGGCCTTCGGTGGAGCTCCCTATTGGATCACGAATCGCCGTGCTGGGTGGCGCGGGCCGCATGTGGGCGCAACCACTGGGGCCTTCGGTGGAGCTCCCTATGGGGACATGAAGCGCCGCGCGCCGTGCTGGGTGTTGCGGGACGCACGTGGTCACAATCCACTGAGGCCTTCGGTGGAGCTCCTTGTGGAGCCACGAAACGCCGCACTGGGTGGTGCGGGACGCATGCCTTTGGTGGATCTCTCTTTGGGGCCGCGAAACGCCGTGCGGGGTGGCGCGGGCCGCATGTGGGCACAGCCACTGGGGCCATCGGTGGAACTCCCTATGAGGTCGCGAAGCGCCGTGCTGGGTGGCGAGGGACGCACGTGGGCACAGCCAGTGGAGCCTTCGGTGAAGCTCTGTATGAGGCCACGATACGCTGTACTGAGTGGCGCGTGGCGCATGTGGGCACAACCACTGGGGCCTGGGGTGGATTTCTCTCTGGGGTCGCGAAACGTCGTGCGGGGTGGCGCGGGACGCATGTGAGCACGGCCACTGGGGCCTTTGGTGGAGCTCCCTATTGGGCCACGAAGCGTCGTGCTAGGTGGCGCGGGCCGCATGTGGGCCCAACCACTGGGGCCTTCGGTGGAGCTCCCTATGGGGCCACGAAGCGCCGTACTGGGTGGCGCGGGACGCATGTGGGCACAACCAATGGGGCCTTCGGTGGAGCTCCCTATTGGGCCACGAGCCACGAAGCGCTGTGCTGGGTGGCGCGGGCCACATGTGGGCGCAGCCACTGGGGCCTCTGGTGGAGCTCCCCAGGAGGTCGCGAAGCGCCGTGCTGGGTGGCGCGGGACGCATGTGGGCACAACCACTGGGGCCTTCGGTGGAGCTCCCCAGCGCTGCGGTGGGTGCGGAGGGCTTCTAGGGATGGGGGGAGGGAGGGAAATGGAGGAGAGGAGCGGAGGAGGTTCGAAACGAAGACTCAACACCACAGGATGGTTGGGAATAAAGGCTGCTGCGCCCGACCCTGGCCGCATCGGCAAGCGCGCGGTCCAAGCGCCTCCACCGTGAACTCCTAGACGGGGTTCCGCTTGTATGTTTGCGGGGGGCCTGTTG